TGCTGTTTAGGTTTCAATGGCCCACCTAGTAGTGGAAAATTTGATCCAGGCTATTTTTGTGGCCAAAACTTTCCAGTAAATTCACAAAAGCACCGATTAGTGGACATAACCACACACATAACAAAACCAGTGGAGTATAGACTGTTTCCAGCAATCTGTTGCGGCCAAAACTTTTCAGTAAATTCACAAAAGCACCGATTACTGGACATAACCACACACATAACAAGACCAGTGGAGTATAGACTTTTTCCAGCAATCTGTTGGACCACGTCGAGTTAGGCGCAAAACCCCAAAAGCCAAATCGTTCAAATGGAGGTTTATCTACAAATGCGGTACTATAAATACAATAATAAAATAATAAAACTTTACAAACCTCAAATCGTTGGACTATGCCGGCTTCTATAAATCGGTTTAGGAATTCTTAATTCCTGATGGATCTCAGAGTCCACACTGACTCAAAACCACGTGTTTACAAATAGCGAAACCAGGAGCGAACTTAAACAACACGTCTCATGACAAGGTCTAAGAACGGTTTATGTTCAGGCCAAAACAAGAGGGGTGGTATTAGCGCAGACCAAAATAACAAAAAAGGGGGAATCGCGTTGTACAACATGAAAATAGAAGAAAGGAATCAACATGGGGGAAGATTTGGACTGTCATAAATTTAGTTTCCGATGCGAGAGGGCATTGGATATCGAGTGTTTGAAGTGTGCCCAATTGTGAGTACAAGTGGATCAATTTAGAACTGCAGATTTGTTGAAAGTTCTGTTATAACTTGGTAGCAATACTTCATGACAGACACTCTTCCCGTCTGGCGTTTCTACACTAATTATGGAGGTTATTCAGACCGCTGAACATTTTTTGAGCCCTAGTACATGGCAGAAGAGTCAAATTATCCATGATCAAAGCTAACGCAACAAATCAGCAACAAAATGTCCATCTTGAATAACCTACTTCCAGACATCTCGAAGCGTTGTGTGGGTCTATTCCATCCAGACGAATGCACCCATTTCTGTTGAAAACACGCAAAACCTTATTATAGTGATCCTCTTAGACGATGCATGCGGTTGCAAAAGCGTACTTCACGGCATCGTTTGTTTGGAGAAGTACACCTTAAATTTTGTTTCTTGACCCTGATCTTCGCTCTGGTAACACCCACGTCACTAAATGAATAAAATATACAATTGCGAACAAAAATATTTTCGTAGCAGTTGCTTACTTAGCAAAATGGCTGACTCGACCTCGTACGTATCATAATACCATATATGCAGCTGTCTCATCCATAGTTGGAGTCATGAGCACTGCACTTCTCACGAACTTCAAGTGCGTTTTGAACCAACGAACTCCCACTTAGTAGTTTGAAAACATGATCTTCTCGATCGACAGCTCTTGACCGAGTGTTCAGACTACTAGCCGTGTGTTCGCAGGTCTAAAACCCCCTTGAGTTTCGTGAGATGCACAACAATGATGATTCTCAATAGGAATGAAACAGCCTTATGTATTTTCATTCTGTTAAGCATTGAGTAACTTTACTCACAGGACGAAATCTCATCTGAAAATTACGAAATCTCCTCGAACTGCCATCAACTCAGTCAAGATAACAATACCATGCTGAGTGATTTTTTGGGACCGAAGCGGCGACAAGCCATTCTTGGCTTACCTTATACTTATTGAATGTGAGTCATAGCTTCATACATTGAATTATTTTTAGGGCTCACCCAAAACCGTGCACATCTCGAGAAGCCTGTCGCTCACTGGTTCCCTTTGTGGAAGCTCCCGTTGGTGACTACCAGTACGAAGTTCGAAATCCCCCTCGTTAAAATTTGCATGTTTTTACTTGAAATGACCAAACACTCTATTCTGGGGCCGTCAACACACCGTGTTTAGCGTCCAATAAATTCTGACGGTGATAATTACTGAAAATTAGCTTTATTGAAGAAGGAAATATATTTTACAAGATATAATTAAGGAAAATCATGAAAGTTGCTGTGTGACAGATTTCGTTCTGTCATCAGGTAAGCATAGCTAGGAAAACGCAGTGGAAAAAACCCTTGGATCAACAAAAGCCAACCATATCAGTGAAGAAGTAGCACCTTTCATTTGGGAATACCTCTTACAGAACTTTTATAGAAATACTCGTCATAGGATATCCACTCGACTTCAGGCGTTAGACTGTCGTTAAGGCCTCGTGCGGCTAGTCAGTTTGTCAGCACTATTTTGATGGTCGTTTGACGGCACAGTTAACTAACAGGGTAGTAGTGGTGATTCATTATGTGTGGCAACCAGTGTAAAGCGTTTTTCAACCCCCAAGTACCTCGAGGCAGATGTACGATCTCACGCTCAAACGTTCAAACCATAGCCACATCCTGGTTCTGGGTTACCGCGCTGACGTGCTGATCAGATGAATTAGTGCAGAAGTCCAAATTTCGCTGATTGATCCGTGGAGTGAAATGCAGTAGAGGGTGGATGAACTTTATGCGAGAGCCGAATAACGGGTAAGTAAATTGGCTGTGCGATAAGCACATCACTTAGGCTACTCGCGAGTAGCCAAAATATATTGGTGGTTATTAGCCTTAGGTGAAGCTGACATCTGTGGGTGTCGGCACACCCTTGGAGCTCAAGGGCTCAGCAAACCCCAGGCTCAAAATGTGCAAAGAGCTCTACAGTTTGTGTAACACTGAAAGCTGAGTAGTGTCATAGACTGATGGACGATTCGGAATGTAAGGAAACAGCTACTCCAATGCACTGACCAAGACGAAAATACTCGGTTGGATTAGGCCACTCCGTCACCAGACATCACTTTACTTGTTCAATTCATAGCTCATAAGAAATATGCTGACGTTCACATGTGAACAAATTCCGTTCTATCACACAGATGTTACCTCACCATAACGGTATTGGCGTACGTCAGATGACACATGATTTCTAGTGACAGCAATCTGTGGAAGCTTAGTAGTTTTCTAGGTGACTTAGCGAGTTACTGGTATCAAGTCCTCAACTACGAAAAGATACAGGTAAGATTAACCCTAGTGACGAGGTCGGAGGTCTTCATTCATATAATGAGGTCAACTGAACGACCAGCTGTGTGATGTGATGCACACACTTTATACTAGATCATCACTATACTAGTGAACAGCATTGAAAAAGTGAAATACTGGTTACACCCTATCTCGCGCGCGAAATCTCCGCACCAGAAAAACCTTCCTCGTGAGTTTTTGTCCGTTAAATTCCGGTTGTTTTCACGAAGCACCTTGTAAAACGCAAAACGCTAGTGACTAACCCTCCCAAATCCCTGCAGTACCCATATAATTCTTTCAACACTTTCATCTCACTGCCGCGCTAATTCAGTGGCTCTTCAACCATAGACTGGGTATAACTGTGGGGCATGAGAAGATTCAGACCATTACGAGGCTTTTTTCCTTGCTTCCCATCGGCTCTCCCGATGTCCGCAGTTGGGGCAGATACCATCAACAAGGACCTCACGAAAATTGTGGCAGAGTGAGAAAACATCATCAGTCAAGGTTCGGTCAACTAACAAACTCCCATTTCACCTGGGATTTCAGTCCTGTGGCAATTCTGAGGGTTTCGCCCCTCATCTCGGATACACCACATAGAAAGATAAAGCCTATGTCAGCTGTTTCCAAACAGGACAGCGGCAACATTGACCAGCGTCGATCAGGCTAGTCTCAGACCTTTTGGGTCAAGTTCCCTCAGCACTCTATGTGGAATGGAAACTTCTGGGGGACATCCGACTGTATAAATACTTTTTTAAAACGCTTTTGGAAGATAATAGCTGTGAAAGCGATTGGTGGGAGGATTATTTGGCAAGCTGTAGTGTGCGTTTAGACAACCGTCTTCAACATTTAAAGTGGAGCGAACAATACACCGCGGGCGATTAGGTCTTCTGGAGGCCGGCGTGTCCTAGATGATCGCATATGGATAGCTAGCACCCGACAGGAAAAAACCGTCGTCCATTTTGAGACTTGGACGCTGAACAAGCCCAATCGATTTGCGAAGCGAGACGTGTTATTAGTCACAAGTCCCGACAACGATGTGGACCCTGAGGAATAATACCGGCAGGAAACATACCCAGAATGACCCATCGGTCGGTTTGAGCATGACTGCAAAATGACAGATTGTTTGAACCGCTGAAATATTATGGTAAATCGGACCGATGCATTTAATACGCGCATTCCCTTCTCGGAGAAGCCTATCCTGATAACTCGAAAACGCTCCTTCACACCTGAAGAACGTTCCGGAAAAGAAGCTGCACAATCACAAAAATTCGCGTATACCCTTCTGACGAGGATGTCCGGAAACCTAAGACGCTCGACCGACAGTGCTTTAGAAGCACCCTCAAAACAAGGAGAAAGGATATTCAGTCAGGCGCGTCGGTATTTAAAGGGTCCTTAATGTTCACCAACGAGGCTGAGATGTCACTGGCCACACCCTAATGTTAGAAGAATGAACTAAGCACGCAAAACTGAATGGCGGTGCGATATGGGCAGTTAGCTAAAAACACGAAGGTGCTGTCAAAACACACGAGGTTTGTCCCAAATACCACTCCGCCAATAGGATCGGGATTCGATCCCCCCGTGCTCAAAGTTCGCTTCAGAGGGACATTCCTGGACCATTGGGATATGTCGTCACTGATACCAACCAATCCACCCATAGTTAGTAACAGTATTACTAACCAACCAGGAAATAGTGCCCGGTACCTCTCTCCATGTAGGCAGCAGGATACGTGTGCCTATTTCCCCGCGGCGGTTTCCAGTAGAGCTGCTGTCGCATGCTTCCAATGGGATTCATAAAATAACACGAATTCCAAGGGCATGGAATACTGTACAGCTCGAAATGTGTATCTGCTCTCAACCAGACCCCATCTGTTCAGTATGACAAGTACGTTTTAATGGAATACTGGACACAAATCGGCCAGACTAACTTGAGTCCGGAAACCATCCATTGCTGCTAGGTCTGTCAACTGAACGAAAGCAAGTCGTGTGCAAATGGGAAATGGATATAATAATAGCAAGATGAGTGAACAGGTTAGCAGAAGTACAAACGACTCGGAGCAGACACAAAAGAGACACGAAATTAAAACCGAAGTTGAAGAGGCAAGAAGATTAAGGATATGTACAGGGATCCAATTTTAAGCACAGTCTAAAAAAAGTGTGAAAGGACGGACAAGTAGACCATGTTGCCACTGTAGAGTTATCGATGGATTGTTTAGTGCCACAGAAAAGACTGCGTGACGTATTACAAGAATCACGGGTGAGTGAAAATGGCGCAAACCACTAACAGTTCACTCATTACGATTAGAAGTGATCGACAAACCGTCGAGCTGTAATTCAAAAGTGATCCGTGTGCGAATTCTCACTTCTTCGCAGATGCATTTGACGCAGCATTCAAATTGCACAAATTTGTCAGGAGAGTCATGACTGCTGCGGGATTGTTCGCCGCTCCGCCCATTAACTGATGCAGAGCAGCAGCGCTGGCTTGTTGCTGTTGGGCTTGAGCTTGTGCGGCTGCCTGTTGTTGTTGCTGCAGCAAGTACGTGTACTGCAACAGGGCTTGCTGTAACATTTGTTGTTGTTGCTGCTGCTGCTGCTGTTGTCTGTTTCCGACAGCCTGGTTAGCTGCACAAAGCGGCAAGCGTGATATTGTTTACTAGTTTAACACGAACAAAGATAATGCTTAGACTGTCAAGTCATCATACCAGTCAGTCCACACAGGTGGGGTACAAGGAATTCAAAATGACGTTTTACATTTACAAACCAGGGGAATGATTCACAAGTGAATTGTCCAAGAGTATCGTTCACCGCTACCTATGATCTCCCATGCGAAGCCCCTGAAAATAAACTATTCGAATAAGAAACTGAGATGGCTCAGTGGTCAGAGCGCAAATTTACTGACTGAAAGGTCCGTGGTTCGAACCAGACCCCGCCTCTCGACTTCCCCTGTCTAGGCTTGGGCTGGCAGTATCCCAGCCCCAGTAATTCCTTTAGGTGGTGGGCAGCTAGGTACCGAAAGGTGCCTCGGATCTACCTCTATTGAGGGATAATAGAGCAAAGAATTAGTGAATTACGTACCAGAAGAGCAACAAAGAAGCCTCAAAAGAACGCACAGTTCCGATGAGTTATCTAGCGGTCAAAATTGTGCGTAATATGCATTCGAAAATGTTGGCATCTACAGGCAGAATAGATTGATAGTGAGGAGATTTGGGATTTCGTCCTGTAAGTGAAACCGGGAGGTTGCGGGTTCGAGACTCTTCGGAATTTCGTGAGATGCTCACTGCTGATGATTCCCAATACGGATGAAACAGCTGTACAGTGCTTCTCGGCTTTTCAGCATAGATTGGCTTCACTTACAGAACGAAATCCCACAAAGACTACCATTTTCCCAACCCATGAGAAGATCCAGTTAATAAGTGAGTGGCCTGCACTTTTAACAGGAAGACCCACTGGATATCTAGATGGAGGGTCTGAGCTTCGTTGGAAGTGCACAATGAAAATCCATTGGATAGCATTCCTCGGCAGTGGACTATACAGATCCCTTGAAAAATTTACCAATTTTGAGTTTCACACTAAAGGCAAATACCGTAAGCACTGTTCTGGGGAAGGGAACAAGCAGCTCGAACTAATTTTTCAAGCAAACTGCAAGAACCCTTTACAAAATCTTCGGAACTCAAACACTACAGTGCTGACCAAGGTGTTGGGCAAAGTCTAATGCATACAATAAATAACACGAGACGAGAAGTGAATAGTTTCCCACTAGCTATCGTCGGACAATCACAGTGTCAACATCCTAAACGTAGATGACCCGATTTCATCAATGGCACCTCTCAGTAAAGTGCTGTCGGTAGTGAACGACGGGAAGCCTTATAAAATATGAGACAGAGGATTCCCCCACAAACAAAAACGTGAAAAACCTACAGGCACCACAAAGAAGGCTGTTCATCAACAACGCTTGCATCTGCGTCAACTGGCTGAATTGATCTAGGGTGGAATTCGATGCTGTCGTGCTGACTTGGGATTGCTGAGACTGTTGGAATTCCCCCAGTGCAGCGGCGGTGGCCAAACGCTGTTGCAGTGCTGCTGCTGCGGCAACCTGTTGTTGTTGTTGTTGACTCGAGGCATTTGCTGCTGCTGCTGCCAAAAGCATCGGATTGGCAGCGGCTGCCATCATAAGCCCAGCAGTGACGTTAACTGGATTAGTGTTTACCGAATAGGTTGACTGAGCTTGGTTGTTACCCGCGGCAACGGCTGCTACGACCTTGCTCAGTTGCTGGTATTGCGATGCTAGCTGCTGCTGTTGCTGCTGGTGTATGGACAATGATGGTGCGCTTGCTGATGTGACTAACGTGTTTGGATTTTGCCGACGAGCATTCACGTTCGGAATCGTAAAGTGTACTGCTGTAGCATTATTTGCCGTGGTTGCCTGAGGATGCCGAGAACCAGAAAATGTGCCCTGAAAAAAGGAAATGAGAACGAAGATCCTGTATGTGCAAGATCACTTTAAATGACTAGTAGTCAGGATTACTCAGTGACTGAGGAGAAAAACTGCGAACTCAATTGACGAAACATCTGGTATGGTAGCTACCAACAGTATCAACTAATCGCTAAACAAAATTAACGTGCGTTCACGTCCTCTATGAGGACAATTACAGTCGCTCTCGAGAAAAATCAGCATATGCAAAATCTAGTGGACGTTGACATCGGATTCACACAAAGTGAGGGCACCTAAGTAACATGGAGCGGTGTAACACTGGTTCAACCCAATCTGAGTGACTATGTGTAATCAGCTGTTTCCTTGGTATCTGTATCCGATGAAAGTGATCATCATATAAGGGAACGAAGTGACTATCAGCTGATATTGAGAAAAATTAAAATCGACAAACCTGTGACTGGAAGCTCTGTTGTTGCTGCTGTTGCTGTGCAGGTGGTTGCTGATACCGCTGTCCTGTGGCGGATACGACTTGAGATTGTTGTTGCGTATGTTGTTGTTGCTGCTGCTGCTGATGTGTCGATGATAGCTTGCGTTCCTGATCCTTAATGAATGCCTCCAGTTTGTTTGGCGTGTTTAGGATGTCCTGGTATTCATGTTCTATCTCACGCTCCGAAGCGGCGTGCTGTTTCAAAGCTGTATTCACCGAATTATGGTAAGATTTATGAATCGCCGAACGCTGGCTGTCGACGATACACGCTTCACAGACTACTTCTGATGACCCAGGGCGTCTGCGCTTCCAAACTGGAGTAAAATCCGTCTGGCAGCGTGAACATACGAACGGTTCACAGGCCAGCGACTGATCGGCCTTTTCTGCAGCGTACGCATCGAAATCCTGGATTCGAAAAAAAACATGCACATTAGTGACGATAAGTTGCAATGGAAAACAACCACAGCCGGAAGATTGTACACCGACTAATAACCGACAGAGACATGAGTTGCTAACTGCTGCTACATTATAGGAAGAGAAACGGTATTAAGCAGTCAGTTACCAGCACTTAACTAAAATTTGAGGGTTTTGCAAGCATCGGTCTGAAATACATCAGTTGTCTCCAAAAGATTGGCTCATATCTAAGGGAAAGACTCTCGGTCACAATACTAAAAATAAGTAAATAAGTGATTTTATTTTATACCAGCCTTGACCTAGCAAAAAATAAATCCTTGAGGCCGCGCGGACAGACAATGAGCCACATAAAAGCTGAAATTAAATCAAAGCTGAGAAAGCTGGTACAAACGACCGTCCGTCTGTTTGTCGGCCAAGGATGATAAACCAAGGAAACCTTGGTTCTGGCTACTACCGTTTTGGTCATCAGAAAATGGGAGCGGGAGAAATACAGTCAAGCATGGGAGGATAAGCGCAACAATGGTAATGCCCCGGCAATCACCAAGGTTGTATAACGTGTACCGAACGCCCAAAAACAGGTCAAAAACAAGTACAGCGTCGTACCCATTCGGACTGGCAGACAACATTGGGAAAATACTGAATGATGGCTAGCTGTTTGGTCCACACCTTCGGTCAATCGGAGCCCACCTTGATACTGGACCGAAAGCGGTCCTACCTTCCGGTCAGTAGCGTTCATATTAGGCTTCTTGATCGTAGAAGCGCTCAACTCCGACTGGTAAATCGGTCTTGGGGCGGAATTCCGCCTAACACTAAGCCAAGAAAATGACCGGCATGGTGACATAATTGTGTTGACAATGGCAACATTGCAACTAGTGTGACACGTATTCATTTGCTGTGCGTATTATCTGGATGTTGTCAGGTGAATTCCCCAAATGTACTGGTTTTCTCAAAAAATGAAAAACTGGTAAAGATGAAAAATCGCTCCTTTTGCGTGAAGAGGCATCTTAGGCAATAGTTTCACGTCAAAACTATAATTTGGATGGAATGTCCAATCAATTTATGAGGAAAATTTATTTGTTATACAGTATTAGTTTATTATTTGTTATCCACCAGTATGGAAAGAATACTACCATTTGGTCTCTTCCACATGCTAAGCAAGCACGGACACACCTTAAGATTCGCTCGCTTCCTTCCGTAAAAAGGAGCCGTACTTGTTAAGTGAAAAAAACTTAATTACCCTGACGCTCTTTCACCGTATTCAGAGAACTAATTTTACCAAAATAATACATGAAACACAGATCCAGTGCACAAGCCTTTTGCACCACAGCTACAACCTGAACAGCTACTTCGCTCATGGAAGGTAACGCGGCTTGAAACAATACGCAAAAGCCTATGTGGGGTGACATTAGAGTAGTGAGGTTCGTGCCGCACGCCAGCTGGGCTACCAGGACGGTGTATAAACCTAGACAAGTGAACGAATATGACACATCCAAACCAAAGTATTCGATAATACAGAAATACGACCATGCTAAGCGGGTATGTAACACTCAAGTGAAAGGGGACACTCAAATTCCATTCCGTTTATTTGCCCATACGTCACACATCAAGGTGAGCTCGTTCAAACGTTCCGGAGAGAAGAGGAACACCGCAGTTCGATTCAGCTCAGCTTTCAGCCATAAACCATGTACCAATGTTACACTGGTTTCAAATGATTTTTTTATTCATCGGAAAATGGGAGGACTAACCAGACAACGGAAGTATTGGTCAATCGGCTAAGTCACGCTTAACCGTCTTCGCTGTCTGACGAAGTGCGGAGTAGGGAAGTCATTTACCGAAGGCAACAGCCTGAACGTAGAAGTGTCACGGAGAGTAACTGTCAGGGTGACTGGTTAAGGCACAGGTTCGAACCCAACCTCAGCATCTCGACTGATCCTATCTAGGCTTGGGCAACATGACAGTATCCCAGTCCTCGTGCCTCCTACCGTTGGCGTGGCAGCCAGGCACTGAGTGTTACAGTTGACCCGACCTAAAGCCGTCATTCTTGACGTGGTGGTCGGGCTTGAATGCGGCATTGATCTCACATGCTGCAGTGGCTGGTACTTGGTTCCACAAGGTGCAACCATGCCAGGAAAGACAAAGGGAAACGATCAAGCCAAGAGCAGCGAGACCCCGCATTACGTGTAAGTGTTACGAGGCGGTCTTGGGGTAAGGTTGTAATGTCCTCTGCGATAGGTGTGAAGGCAGTAAAGTGTTTCTCCCAGGCGACCAGAATGTCTATATTTATTGAGGCCGCGATCGTCTCTCTCCTGAGGAAGGACGGGTTAGAAGTTGGCCCTAAAGACCTCACACTCCGAACGCCCAACGGTTGATCGCGACCAGCAGTGCATTAGTCATTAGGGTTGAAAAACCTTCAAAACCAGTCTGGTGCAGCTCAAAAGGGACCTGCTATTCTCAGCCGCATCAGGAATGAGACACCGATGCCCTACTCCCTGCGCCCTCACGTTAGGCCAAACCCTGCAGCCGAGCGGGGTCCCCAAAGAAAACCCTACTGCCCAGTGCCCCACGAGTCAAGCTTGAGTCAGAAGCTACGGGCAGGGTTCCAGAACAAAACCATACATCTTCCCAGTGCCTTGTGGGTCGGACTTTTGAGTTAAATGCTCAAGGTGGGGTACGTTAACTAAACCCCCTTCATCGGCCTGGGCAACCCGGAATTATAATTTACCCGCGCAGCTCGGCGCCCACCGATGTCCCTCCGCAACCCCCTCCCACCACATAAGCAAACACCACTGGGGCACTTGACCGAAAGGCTTTGAGCTCGTCGCTGCTTACTAACAGTAAACAAAAATAACACCCTTCTAGATCCACGAGATCCTTTCCACATAGGAGCTTTTAACGTTCATGCTTCATGTCAAATTGGCAAACAGGCAATGCTTGCTGAAAATTTATACTCGCTTTAAACTTATATATGCTGTTTCCGAAATACACATATAAGACCCAAGCGTGATTATACATCTCACAACGCAAAGTCACGAAGAGACTGGACCATACTGTGGTGGGGTGGTTTATGTACCTCGGTGATCCATTGAGCTATACTGGGGAGTGTCCGCACGATGCTCACAGAGTCTCTCATGCCAGGTTGGTCCATGGGTAGAGGTCCGACAAACACAGTCTCCTAGCCCTCCAGGCTGGGGGTTGGAATATGTGTGGCGACGTGTTTCGTAAAAATGGTAATGTACTTGCATTTCCAGCCCAACACCACTGCCTTGCGGTTAGGCTTTTGAGCCAAAGGCTTTGGTTGAGGACCCTAATCGTCCTCCTATCTAGGTGTGGGCGCCCTGGCAGTATCCCAGCCCACGTACAACCATGAGCTGCACATACACAAATAAACTCATGCCACATTGGCCGTCGCGTGGTGACATCAACCGGGTCGCCTTACTTGCTACATACAGCAGGGCGGCTAAGCGAAAACATGCTACTGCTGACGCCTCCCTTCTTACACTTTCACGTTTTCCGTCTTCCACCCTCCCCCGCCCAAATTTGAATACTTTATCCGCAGGTCCCAGCTCTAGGACTGACCGTTTTGCTCGCCCTGCATCACACTCAGCTGCAGCTTCTGCACGTCCGAGTTCAGTTACAACCCTAAACACTTCGAAGTCTGTTTTCAAACCCCGAAAGCCTGTCTACTTAGCCACTTTCAATGTTCGCACACTGAAGCAAGCAGGTCAACAGGTGGCTCTTGCGCGTACGCTGGATTCCCTCTGTATTGATGTATGTTGTCTGTCAGAAACAAGGACGCAGGACGCAAGTACTGTAATCGAACTGACTGCCCCCTCGCTCTCTTCCAGGTTCCGACTGCGCACCTCTGGTGATGCAGAGGCCGCTGCAGCTGGATATGCTGGGGTGGGTATTGTATTGAGCGAACGAGCGGAAGCGTCTCTGCTTGATTGGATACCCGTAGACAGTCGCCTCTGTGCGGTTCGTTTGGCAACATCGGTGAGAGAATCTAGAGGAAGTGAGGTTCATCGCACCTTGTTTATTGTTTCTGCTTACGCCCCAACTGACTGTAGCTCTGAATCTGCCAAGGACAGTTTCTATGACGCTCTAGGTGCCCTTCTACAACAGGCTAAAAGCTCAGATATCGTTGTGGTTGCTGGTGATATGAACGCCCAGGTAGGTAGACTAAGCGCTGCTGAGGCCCGATTGGGTGGTCGTCTTGGTTTGGACACTAGACGCACGGACAACGGAGACCGCTTACTTCAGATGTGTGCCGATCACAGACTGTTCCTTTGCAGTACGAATTTCCGGAACAGCGGAAATCGCTTGACAACGTGGTGCCCACCATCAAACCAGCGCCCACTCCAAATAGACCACATCGCCGTCAGTTATAGGTGGCGAGGATCAATCATCACCTGCCGCTCCTTCTGGAGCACCAGTGTGGACTCCGGCCATGTACTTGTACACTGCTGCTTTTCATTGCGCTTTTCAGGTGTACGCAAAACGCGCACACCTCGCTTAGCCATTGAGAAGCTAATGGAGCCAGAAGTCGAATGAAACTATCAGAACAAGTTCTTTAAATGCCTGTCGGGCGGTGTCGGATATATATCCAAAGCGCTACTCAAAGCCACAATATCTGTTTCCCGTACAAACAAGCCAACCTCTTCCAAGAATTGGATCTCTGGTAGGATCGTGTCTTTGCTGGACACCCAGTGAGGGATTCGGCGAACTCTCATGCCACGGTGGACAATGGTTAGAGGTCTGAAAAATGGTCTCTTGGTACTCCAGCTTGAGGGTCACACTTTTGAGCCAAAAGCTCACTTTGAGGAGCCCAATCGCCTATTTATCTAGTTGTGCGCAACCTGACAGTATCGAAGCCAACGCACACTCCGTCAGGTGGTAATGTCATACGTACACTCGACCCAGTTTTAATATCTCCAACGCACATTCGACTGGGTTGACCGGTCTGTTCGCCTTGACACGTTCGCCCATGAAGGAATATCCAGGAGGTTTGTGACAATATTCTCAGACTTCCAGACGTGAGAGTGTACAGAGTACTCTCCAAAAGCTTCCGTACACAATGGGGTGTCTCTTATGGGTGCCCAATTCCTCCAATCCTATTCAACTTCGTGATCGAGGAAGAAATGAAACGAAGGCCAGGTCTTCAAATAGCCGCTGACAAAAGCCTCATTTGTCTGGAATAAGCAGAGATCGTTTTCGTCTACGAAGATGCGCAGCTGTTTTCGGATGAACTGAACAAAATTCCTCGGCATACACTATGCGCCCATCATCAATCACCAATCATCATCATCATCATCATCATCATCATCATCATCATCACCATCATCATCATCATCA